TCAGAGTTGTATTGTTTTTTTTATTTACTGGGCACGTAGATAGCTTCTTGCGCTTTATTTAGACAAACTTGGTGTTGCCAATAGTTTCTGTCCTGAACCATCCTATACAGTCTCTAGAAGATTGCTATTAGATGCTTACAATTTAATTAGTAGCATCCCTTTTCGCAATAATATGTTTAACAGAGTCCTGGAAATGCCTTAATTCTTGGATTACTTAAAGTGACTATTTTTGGACAAGCCTTGCAGATGATCCTCATTTTTTCCCTTTACCTAATTTGAATTACCTCATAAAATAGAAGGAATTTATTCGTATCCACGTTAGTCCACGGGTTTATCCAAATAACTTTTTTGTGCTTGGCCGGAAATATGAAGTTTTTTTTGGATCCGCTAATCTTTTGTGATTGAAAATCTCAGATCTTCTGTAACTAGTATCGTCCATTCATCTGGTGTCATGTGTCAAACATAGGATCACCTCTTGTCTTTATTTTTCCACTAATTATGTACATCTGCCTTCGCAAAATTCATTCAACTACAGCCTCTGAGAGGTGAGTTCCACATCCTAACACTTGGAGGGCGAGGGAAGAGGGGGCAGAATTTCATTTCGTCTTGATATTTGTAAATCGCATACGGGCGCATACCGATTGCAAGACTATTCTTTCGAGCAAATTTTCGTTTCCACAGCAGAGCCAATATATTATCAGTCGGCCGCCACATATCTACACGTGCTGATGCGACCTCTTGATTATGACTTTTTTTTAACCAAATCCGGAAAAGTTGTCTCATATGAAACAGCATTTGAGATGTGATAGTCCCTTCGTAATTTTCCTTAGATAGACCAGTCTGTATAAGTTTTGCTATTCTTCAAAGTAAGACATTTCTTTTATATCAGGTAGATTTGCTTGTTAATTCGTTTCTTAATTTTGTAGGCAAATTATGCACAGAAATCCTAATCCTTCGTTTCTGTGTTCATATCTAGTCCTGAAAACTAGAATAGGCCTAATCTGATTTTATCCTTTTGATTGGAAATTTTCACTGCTTGATTGATATGAGTCTATAATATCAGTCTAGCCGATATTATTGTTGTAGGGAGCACCTGCTACTTGGGTTTAACTTTCATTCTACTGCAAAATGTTTTAGTTAATAGAAGTTGTTTGACCTTGTTTTCCCAACTTGGTCATATTGGTAAGAAGTCCATTGTATGCATGATCGTTTCAAGAGTCGGACCGTCGATGTGGCACATTCTCAGACGTTTCGCCGGCATCGTCAGTGAATCTTGCTATTCTTAGCATCAGACTAAAAGTCGTCAAAGAGACAAGTAAAGCCGATCCTTTGAACAAATGTGTGCTAAACAGTTGTGAATCCAAAATTTAGAGGCCTGCTCAGTGAGGCTGGTGTATACGTGCTATTAATGGCTTGAGGCAGAGTGAAGAACATAACGCCTTGAGTAGTACGGATACGGTGGCAGCGATGGCGTGAAATTACTGAAACTGGCAGATAAGGGAAGTATTCTACGGAACAAGAAGGGAAGTCTAATAGGACCTGAAGGGAGTAGATTGCGGATTGCATCGTAGACTTGGATCAACACTCTCGGGACAGTGGGAGGGATGTGAAAACCAGCGGGTAGTGTCAATAGGTTTCAGATAGATTTAGATTAACAGGTAAGAATGTGTGATATTGATGGGGTGATCCGAAGCTATAGGAAAGGTGAATGGTCCAGAACAAAATGAGAAATACCACAACTGTTAAGCACATTTGGTCAAAGGATCGGCTTCTCATGTCTCTTGGACGAGTTTTAGTGTGGTGCCAAGAATGACAAGACTTAGTGGCGATGCCGGCGAAACATCTGGGAATGTACCACGTCCACAGTCCGATTTTGGATATAATCATGCATTCAATGGACGCCGGACTAGGTGCGTTCTAAATGTTCCTACCAATATGATAAGTTGCGAAAACAAGGTCAAACAACTTCTATACTTAATTTCATTTGACCATATATCCCAATCTAACTGGAAACTGGTTTATTCTACTTGAGCGAAAGGTTAACTATGATATTATATCGCTTCTTATCATCAGTGGCTTTCTATTCTCTCCTTCACTTGCAGAAAACATTATTGCACAACAGCTATTTCCCATTTAACCAAAGGGTTAGGGACATCCACTTTATCTCTAGTTCTATTTTGCACAGAATTTCGCCTCATTTCTAGCACTGTTTTTTTATCCGACCAGGAAAAGACAAGCTTCGCAAAAAAACTAATCCATGTTTGGATTCTGGCTACATTTGCATGAAAAACATGGTCGTATCTGCCTTCTCAGACTCTATTCGATGTTTTCCAACGTCTGATCGTTTGGGTCACACTACTAAAGTGATCCCGACTTTATATTGATCTTCCCATCACATGATCAAGTTAAAAGCATTTGACCCAGCTTTTCTCTTCTCACTTTTAACTATTTCGGAAATGCATCTCTACATTTGACAACTAATCTACTATAATATCTCCGGTTTTTGTTTTGGGTTTAAAGTCTTGTTCCAAACCTCCACTAGACAAATTGATTAGTCTGCCTCTACTTCGTTTAGAATTGTCGCAACCACTTGGGCTAACCCATCGTCACCATTCCTGCCAGGACTGTTGTGAACTGGCCAATGTTTCTGGATTCAAAAGCATGTTATCTCTGAAAAAGAGTTCAGTTAGAAATCCAAGTTATTTCAGTTACACATTTGTACTTGAAGATTAACTGGCCTTTTCCGTTGCCCGAGGCAATGCATGATTCATTGAATCTCATGAATCGATAGGCTTCCTTACCAGTTATCGAGAAATTTCATTAAATAATTCAACAGAAAATAACTACTTCAGGCTTTTTAACATTTTGTTCATCTGCACTTTAGCTAGAAGTTAATTTTTCTTTGTACTAAATGATTTACAAACTTAAACTTAAATTTGCTTATACATCATTAACTCGAATCGGGTGTTAAGCGAGATATCATCTTAATCTTAGACAAATTTTTATCTTATCTATTCATTAAAATGTTATAAAAAATGAGATACATAGGCTTGTATTTTGTCCTAGTTATATAAATTACACCAAGTCATATTGGAATTAATGCATAAGCGAGTTTAGTGGGGTCTGTCTTACGTTGAATTTCGTGTTGCTAGGGTTTTTCAGCATATAATCTGTCTATGGACGCTTACTTACTGCACCGTAATACTGTTGGGAATTTCAGTGAAGCCTATGCAAAGCTGAAATCGTAATCCAACTGTGTAGAATACATGGAAAATTGCAGTTCATTTGCGAACTCACTCCCTTACTATAGGTTTGAGAAATATTTATTAGTCACTGGCATAAACTATCTAGTGATTTATTACCATTTGTGATCCCAAGAAATCTTTTTACCTAACAAATCATAAGGGATTTGTCCTGGCTTTTAGATACTATCTGTACTGAAATTAGCCTAACTTTCACGAACTCAATTGTATTCTCTTCTATATTAAAATAAGAAATTGTATTGCCATTTTTGTTTTCAATTTTGAGTGCTACATAAACCGAATTCCCGAGATTTTGCTTAATGCCAAGTTGTTAATAATCTTTATCAGGATACAGTATATACGAATTTCTCTACTTAGAATTTATTAGCTTTAAAAGCACATGTGGGAGACATTTATTACAATTTTTTGTATATAAGCAGATTTTCTAGACTACCAGTAAATAAGTTATATGAGATGTATTCTCGAAACTCTGCCTATATACGAAAAATAAGTAATGTAGTCAATTACTATGGCAGAAATACGTTTGCTTCATCGACAATCCCATCAAAGAATGTGATATGGTAAAAGCCTTAGCTTCCTTGCAATTCACATCTGCCCTGTGACCCGAGGACACTCTTGGCAATGCGGTTAATTAGTTAACGTGTCAAGCTCATATGCTTCACTGTCACGGTTCGAATCCCGCTTGGAGTGATGACAAGACCGAGGTGATGTCGAAACTGCAGTCCACTTCTGCCTGGATGAGAACATCTTTTAGGAAAGCAAGGCTATGTGAAATTCAATGAAAACGTCAGCTCAACTCATATCATTGTGGGATAATTCTACTACCAGTCCTTCATCACCGTAGACCAAATAGGGTGAATACATCTTATATTTCTCTCAATTTTCTCTAGCCAATTGGCAAAATCACGTCCACTCAATACAGTTTTTAAGCTTTTAGTTTGTTCTGGTGTTAATTTTAATTCTCATTGTTCGCATTATGAATGTGTGGGCTTGTCTTTGATTGTCTCATACTTCATCTCATGCTCTTTTTTGCACCTCAATTCTGTGCCCATGCCTTTGGGAGACAGATGCCGTCAGCACAACAGACGAAGCCTTTGCCAGCACTTTTTCGATAAACTCCGATCCAAAAACACCACCTCACTTCTTCCTGCCTACTCTTGAGACTGCCGGAACCAATTCTGAGGTAGGCAGTGACAATTGCGAAGGCTCCTGCGCACCGATTGGTCAGCTGATCGTGAACCAGACGAATTCAGACGTCTTGTCACAGACTACTGATGACTTATCGCTTTCTTGTGAGCATATTTCTTCTAACGGACATATGGAAATCCAATCCCTTCAGGACAAGCCACAATTCTCTACTGATCAAAATTATCATCATTTGTATCGCCATTCGCTTCGGGCCCATAGAACCTATTGTGTCACTCCGAAGCGCTTAACAAATTGGTACCAGGTGAGTATTTTTGCTCCATTGATGATATAATTTTTTTCTTAGAGGCTATTTAATTTATTCACTGCTATCCTGAGTGCTATTTTCGGCACTTGGGTCAGTACAAGAATGCTATATAAATAATTTACATGTGTTTATTTTTCTTTTGGCCATTTCTTCAAGTTTGGTCGGGCCAATTGTAGTAGTATGTACAGCAAGATACCTTCGCTGATAGCAGATTACGATTCTGCTAGCTACATAATATTTATTTTTGATCATTAAATATAACATTATATTTATCATTATTTTCCAACCCTCCAGTGCTGCTCCGAAGTTCTTTTGATGGTTCATCTTCAGCTTTAAAGGCACGACAATTTTTCTGTCACAGCCATACATTTTCATTCTGTTTCCAAGGTTTATTAATTTTGAGGAATAGATAGGCATAAATAAAAAAAGCCGGCGATTGGAAGTATGATAACTATTTTAGGAGAGGACTTCGGGCAAGGTGCGTCCAACTAAGTATTTCTGATAACAGGGCTAAATTGCGAACGCGAGGTCAGACCATATCTCTACTTTTTGTGGGGCAAGACTAAGTGAAGTTCAATGAAATCGTGAGGCTTACTCATTTGGTTGTGGTAAGATTTAATTGTCAATTATTCATCATTTTTTTCTACCCAAGAGTACCACGGCTCTAAATATCTAATGCTAGTATCGAGATCTACCAATTATGAAAATGAATGTTTGAGCTGGTCTGTAGGCGAATTCATCTTCCCTAGCCAGAGTGATTTTTCATATATAAGTAGAGCTTCGAGACTACCAGTTATTATTTTTTTCTAAATATGATTCGGGTTTTATCGCCATATTCTAAACAGCTAGCATTAATGGGCACATAAGTACATGCAAGTTATCGTGCAAGTGTTTGCCAGAGGCATATGAAAACATTCATTGTATTTTGCTAATTTTTATCTGCTGCACTGAAGCATTTCTGTGACATTTTAGCTGGTGCAAATGACTTTCTAGGTTGCTTTAGCTGAGCTCTACATTCAGCCAGCATATTCAAAATGCCAATTAATCCTATAGTTTACACCGAATTTAGAGATTCAGGACAGCAATGAATCATTTCAGGAGTCTCCTCACATATTTTAGGTGGATAGGCTTACATTTTCGCTAGACACAAGAGCCATTTCTCTGTTATTTGGAATTTATAGCTCCAAGGAAAGGGTCTTGCAAGCCTTGATTGTTTCTGTTTCATTGAAATTAGTAATCGCGACGTGGCCTCAGAGTGCCCAAGGTTCAGGTCTATATCTCCTCTCCACCCGTTTTCACGTGGCCTATGTTTCAGCAAAAAGACTCAGTACAATTTCACCTGACCTCACTGAATGCAATTATTTGTTCTGCCGTGCTCGGGCCATATTTGTTAGGTCAGATGACGTAAACTTTTATCCGTTAATTGCTCCCTATACTTGATTGAGTTTTACTGTCTGTACGCTTACCAAGCTCACATCTCCGTCGAACATGTATTGGTGCCAAGGCTGACTTCACTCTCACCCGCCTGACTACCTTTTTGTATATCTTATCGCTTCCCTGCATGTTAATCTAGTCGAATATCTTACGGCTTGTTTAACTGTCTATCATGATGCACGCCTATCTCCATGTCTGTCTGCACTAATGTATGTTTGGATGGTCTCCTGTTTGTGCATCTTGCTCAATGTGTGGTGCAATTCTTGTTGTGGTTATCTGTGTCTACGTTTTGGCTCAGAATCATCGAGAAGCTACTCGGATTGTCGACTAGACATTCATTCTTCTATAGCTTATGCTGGCCGGTGTTATGGAATTAATAACATATTATGAACCATATTTAATTTATTTCTACGGTACTACATAATTATGGCTCAGCTATATTAATTTTACTCATCGTCAACGGCCTTCTCTCAATGGAATTGTTTATCTTCAATAGTTGATGTCTGGATCTATTGGATTTACTATTTTAAATTTTATAAATTTGCTACAACACGGATAAAATGCAAAGCTATCCGAGGCGTGAGCCATTGTATAACCTTGTAAGCAGATTCCAAATTGTGATATTAGCATCTATTCCATGTAAAAGTGATTTGTAGATGAGTACAATCAGTTTGTTTGGCTGTGAATTTTTTGTTCATTAACTGAATTTTACTATAATTGTTGATCATTGGGTCTATTATCGAAATTACTTCTTTATCATACCTCACCACTTATAAAAGCTGACTTTTTGTTAAAAATTATATTTCCTTGCTGAGTTTTACGTTTGGTTTTACCCAGCTTCGTGATTACACTAAATCTGCATTGCTTCTGGAACTTTTGTTAACCTGACTTACTGATGCTCAATCTAGCATACATGATGTATATGGATAGTACTATTAACCAAAATTGTTCTGGTCTTAATATTATGCTAAGCATTGTAAATGTAAGGGTAGTCTTTAAAATGCTTATTACTATTTTATTTTGAAATGGATTTTCATAATTATTGCAGAGGTGAATTTGCTTTCATGTGAATATATCTCACTTTGAAATACCGTTTTACTTATAAAATGGTCGACCAAAATATGACTATTTTTAAGCCTTGACTTAAGACCTATGTGAAAAACTAGTAATAGACACTGGCCTTTGTTATATAATGCATCATTTTTATTTTGGGGTGGTCCTTTTGCTTTATAAAGCTAAGCCGATTTGATTATAGCGTAATCTTCATTGTGTTTCGATCATCCATATAAAGATCAAGCTGGTGGGCCCTTTTATTTAGTCGCAATATTCTTTAACTGTAGAATTTCAATTTGACCTCGTTTTCGCAACTTGTTCGGAGAGTCAGGGAGACCTTGTGAAACGTATTAGTCTTGCGTCCTCTACTGGTGTATTTGTGATTTCCAGCACCGGACGATTGACTTCGTAGATCCCCATACGTTTCGCCGACATCTTCAGAGGGGGTGCTATCGTTAGAATAGAATCACAATTTATCAAAGTGGCAAGTGAAGGCAATCCCTCTGATGAATTTTTTGTTCAATCATTGTGGCATCACTCCTCTTTATTTTTTAATTCTTCCTTTGAGTACTGCGTCTTTTTCTATCATATAATCTTCATTGACATCATTATGTGCTCTCTATTCCTCCAATGTCGCCTAAAAGGATGTCGCTATAAGTGAATTTATTGAAGCGTAAACACTTTCACCATTATGTTTCGTTCTTTTTTATTTTGGCTCATAATTATAATCCTTGTACTTTTCACTTGCGTACGTATACTGTTTTTAATTGATTTGTGAACTTTTTTACTAAATGTGTATCGCATATACCTATTACCCTTTAATAGTTTTTCGAATAGTCAGAGTATGGAGTAATTAACAACTCTTGGTGCCTAAAATACCACTAGACGATTGTTAACAAAATTCCCTATCAATTTATAGCATAATCACAGGATACCATAATGTCGCTTTGTTAGAGCATAAAATAGCATGCTATTAATATATTGACATTAAAGTAATAACCAGACGGATATATTCTAGATAAGCTATTTATTGTCGATCTGACTTCATTTCGCCTTGAAGTGTGTGATAAAGAGATTTGTTGGCCCATAATACCAGAAGATGACCGCCAATCTTCCTTGAACTAATGTTTGGCTTTGCAATTTCCTTTGCTCTTTTGAAAACGTGCTAAGCTTTCTTCATTAGCTTGAATATGGTTGTAAGAATGATACTCTTTTTTGATGATATCCGTCATATGACTGGCAAGAATTTAACATTTTTGCCAAAATCGAAGCAGATTACTTCGGGGACAGCATCGGCAAGAATTTTCCGGTAAAGCCACACTACAGCCAAGGAAATTCGTCGTTGTCTTTTGGTTGAATCTTCCTTAGAATCACTTAATCACGCATTCTTAATTGAAATGGAAGTGGGCTCAAATAGTATATGAGATGTGTTCACCCAATTTCGTTTAAGGTGATAAAGGACTGGTAGAAAAATTTTCCCACAATAATATGAGTAGAGCTGACGTTTCTATTGAATTTCACATAGCATTGCTTTCCCAAAAGTTGTTCTCATTCAGGCACCAGTGGATTGGAGTTTCGACCTCGTATCGGTCTTATCAACACTCCCAGCGGGAGTCGTACCGTGACAGTGCAGAATGGTAGCTTGACATGTTAACCACTTGATCCCAATGCCACGAGTGCCCTTGGGTCACAGGGCAGATGTGAATTTCAAGGAAGGTTAGGCCTTTTGCTATATCATATTCTTTAGTGGGATTGTCGATGAAGCAAACGTATATTTGCTATTACAATCGACCACGTGACTTTATTTTTCGCATTTAAGTATTGTTTCGTGACTACCAGTAAATCAGTAACATAAATATATTCACCCAATTTCGTTTAAGGTGATGAAGGAATGGTAGAAGAATTTTCATACAATTATGTGAGTAAAGCTGACGTTTCCATTTAATTTCACATGGCCTTGCTTTTCCAAAATTTGTTTTCATCTAGGGTGGGCTTCAGTTTCGACACAGTCTCGAAACAATACTTAAATTCGAAAAATCAAATATTATAAAT